TGTGTGTGTGTGTTTTCTTAAGTTTTCGCGGGTACTTACATGTATGGTATTCGGCTTTGTTCAGGTATTTTCCCACGTCATTATAGTTGTGCTTTTAAAGTTGTAGCAACGTTTCGGCAGAATCTCATCTGCCATCATCAATACAGAAGCCTGATGATGGCAGATGAGATTCTGCCAAAACGTTGCTACAACTTTAAAAGCACAACTATAATGACGTGAGAAAATACCCGAACAAAGCTGAATACCATATATATACATATACACCACAGTTGTTCAAATTTGGACTAAATTGATACCTTCTCTTTCTGGACCTTGGCAATTTTAAGATTTGTTAACTTCAAATTTCAGAATTTCCCAGCCACATGCACCCCTGTTCTAGACCAAACTCTTGGAGGATTTTTTAACCAATGGGTGAAATATTGAGTTTTTGTACTTCATCTGTTTAGGAAAGTATAATTTTTCCAGTCCAGTTTTGGTTGTTCGTTTCTCACTGTTTTGTGATACAAGTATCTTAAGACCTGATAGGACATTTGTTTTCATTTTAAAACATTTTATGTAATAAGCAAAGCAATATTTAAATAAAATTTGAAGCTGGCTCCAGTATGGTAACTCAATCCTGAAAAGTTAATAATGATAAAAAAAATGAATATTTCAGTGTAGATATATTGACCTCAAATAAGAAGGATTAGGCATATTTCATCTAGTCAGTCGTTGGCTTTTCTAGATACAAATGGCTCTGGAGAATGTAATTTAATGTGCTAGTAAAATTAAAATACTCCTTTCCGATCTTCACAAGTAAAATTAGGAACACAAGAGCTGTTGCTGCATGATTAGACAAATGAACCTTAATAAGGTGATCAAGATTATATATCCCTAGAACAAATGTCCATGTGCCTTAAATGGAATCAATTAAATTTAGCAGATTCTTGCTGTGCTTTGATAATTACCATTTTTTAAGCCAGCTTAATTATATTTTGCTATCATTACTCACCCATATAATTATAGTATGTTGGTATTTGCCAAATCTTTTAACGGAAGTTGTTTTATAGACCTATTTCTTCAGATGGGCCTTAGATGTTATACTGCCATCCACTTCTTGGGATTTCCATCATTTCTCAACCCTTTGCTCCTTCCTTTTTTAATTTTTTAAATTGACTTCTGTAACCCACAAATAATGAGGAAATGTGATAATAGAATGTAACATTATGAAAACATTTTTGGGATGTTTTTCATTGTTTTATTCATTGTTTTAACTGTTTTTTATTTTAAAATTGTAAGCCATCCAGAGTTACTTGACTTGGATAGGCAGCTATAGAAATCAATCAATGAAGTAAATAAATAAAACATCTTTAATGCCTTTCCTATGCTCCTTATCAGGAAATAATATGAAAATGTCTTAATAAGGCATGAGAAATTGGACTTAAAGAAAGTTTAACTTAAAGCTAACTGCATCCTGCCAGCATTTCAGAATATCCAGTTGATCCAAATCAGGTTCTCGGTATAATTTATGGAAGCCTAGTTAAGCCCCAAGTCATCTATTTTCCATTCTCTTGGTTGCAAGATAGAAAAATGGTCTGTAAAATAAAAATGTTGTTAATCAAGTTAGACTCTTTGGTCCATCTAGCTTAGTACTGGCTTTACTAGAAAATTTCAGTGCATTGTTTTTTTAATGCAGCTGTTTTTGGATTTATTAAACTAACCATACATGCCTATGGATTATTTTCATGTTCTTAAGTTCAGAGAATGGTGTGATGAGATTATTAAATGTGAACAGTCATCATAATTTTATTTTATATTTTCCATGTAAAATACCATGCCAAATACTAAATCTATGTATTTTCTTTCTTTCTTTAAAGTTGATGAAGGAATTCCCGCTTCTTAGCATGTTCAACATCCACGAAAATTTGCTAGAAGCTTTGCTGGAGTTACAAGCCTATGCAGATGTTCAAGCTGTTTTAGCAAAATATGATGGTAAGTGAAGTAGCTCTTTATATACCCTGATACTCTGTGCCTCTATGGGAGTCAAACAAAGGAGAGCAATGTCCTTTAACAAAATCATGTTTAAGGAGAGAAAGGTCCATGTTCTGATTTTCTTTTTATTTGCTTTGCAAGATGTTCTTAAGCAGTTATAGTAAGTTGTAGCTTCCAAATAATTCCATTTAATTTATGATACCTAGTTTTTAAATGTTGTAATAATGAAGGACAACCACTCCTTCCATTCATCATTTTATTTATTTCTTGATGAATTTCAGAGTTTTACTAACTCTTCTATGAGTTTGTGAGGTTTGTGACTTTGTACCTTTTTGCTTTACAAAAAAACCCTTTCTAATTTCATTAGAATTTAATGGTGAAGTGATAGGACCTAAGCAAGAACTGTTTCTTTCTTCCGTGTTTTCTTACTTTAGAAGTGCCACTCAAACTCTTGAAAACAGGTACAGATAAAAGTTTTCAGGAAGCCTTGGAGGGAGGAAATAAGACTTGCCTAAGTGAGTCATTTTCTTCCAGCAATAGCAGTTTGATTATTGCAGCCACCAAAATTGCTAACTGCAGAAGCTATACATGTGGAATCTAAGATGGCTTCTGACCAGAACCATTTCTCTTTCTGTTGTATTCTTCCTGGAGAGCTAAATTTTGAAGCGCATCTAAAATAAACCCGCCTTTTAAAACTTGAAATTATCCATTTTTATACTAAGCCACCCATCAATCTTTTGCTATTGGATGAAACATAAATGAGGTTTCTGAGCAGTATGTAAATTAGCACATTCTTCCTTATCTTTATTACCAGTGTTGGATCAGTACTTCAATCCACAGACTTTTACAAAGCAGCAGACTGTGACATACTTCGTGTGAACTGCCACAAGCTTCAATAAGTAGAAAAAAAAAATTGCTGTGTGCATTCTGAGAAATCTTAACTGCTGTATGTCACTTAGGAGCTCTAGGAAAAGAGATCCCCCATATGCCACTTCTATATTTGCTGTCCCATTTGATTATTTTACATTCTATAATTTGTAAAAAAAACAATAAAGAATTTGCACCATTTAACTTCTTTTTCTTTGTGTTTCCTCTTTTCCTTTCTCCGTTCCTGTTTCTTCTTGGATGCTCAAATGCAAAAGGGGAAAGAGACATCTCTCCTTTTGTTTTGTTTTGCTTTCAGTTTGTTTTGCTAGCCCTCTGCCAGTGAAAATGAAGCCTCTGGGCCCCGTTTTTGGCCACGACAGCCTTCTGCAGCCCCTGCCAGTGAAAATGGTGGCCCCATTTCAGCTGCAATGGAAAAATGGAGCTTTGTTTTCACTGGCAGCAGGCTGCAGGAGGCTGTTGCGGCAGAAACTGCAGCCTGGAACAGCCATGTGTGGCCATCCCAAGCTCTGTTATCTCTGGCAGACCCACCACGAGCCAGTCCTTTGCTGTTTCCAGGGTGGCCCCACAGGCCAGATTTAAGTACCCCACGGGCCTTGTGTTTGACACCCCTGCACTAGTGGGAATTGCATTTTGATAAATGCCCCTCATGTGAACCAGGGCCCTTTGAAAATAGACATTCTTCTACACAACTTGTCCTCAGAATTTCAGATAGGTCCCACTAGAACAAAAAATTGGGAGGAGGGCCCTGCCTAACAGGAGGGCCCTGCCTTCAGTTGTCTTCATACATATATTTTGTTTTACTGTTGAAGGATTTTAACTGCCTATATTCTCAAGGACATTGCTTTTATAACAAAAATATTCTAGGAAAAAAGAATTTCTGGCTTTTTGGGTAGCAAAAGGGAGGAAGATAAACAAACTAATGGAGTGGATTACACAGAATGCTAAAGTGACAATTGGTGAACTACAAAACCTTAATTATGTTTCTAGTAACAGTAAATATCTTATTGTTGGCATTGCTTCCCTGTTGATCTTGACTTGTTGCCAGGTGCACCATATAAATGGACTATATAATCACATACAATTTGTTTATAATAGGGTACTTGCTTGTTCTTTGCAGCAAAATCAAAACAGTGGACTAGAAGCGTCAGATTTATTAAACTCTGATTTTAAAATTTAATAAATTCATGCTACCTATTTATTTCATGGGTTTGCAAGCCATTTTTATTCATAGACAGCTCTGAGGACATATACTCCAATTATATAATAAAGATCACCATATCTTACAGTTGCAATATGAATAGTTAATATGCTGCAAAACAACCTCCTATCATCACCATTTTAATCACAATGCCACTATCTCAATAAGCAAGAGTTGAGAGTTGAAGAAGACTTCCAGGTTGTAGAGTAATTTAAAACGAGGGAACCAATCCAATCCATGACTAATGGCTCATTGACCTCTGAACCTATGGCATCTCCATCTTGCAGGAAGTAAACCAGAATCTGTTCATTCCTATCCAGATCCTGACAATCCCATATATTCTGTTTGGCCTGAAATTGAGATGAGCAATGGGTATCATGATATTTCACCCTGTGTTGATGAATCACTTGCCACTGCTGCTTAAACTATGGAGCAGAGAAAGTTACATACTTTCAGTACCTTTTAGACTTGACCTCTCCCTTCCCATCACTACCAACTGAAACAGGTCCCAGATAAACTATAACACTATGCTTCCTTTTCTACTCCCAGAGACAGTTCAAAATGATTTTGTAATGGATGTGACAAAACGCAACTGTGAGGTTGAAGAGGATTGGAATCTTGCTATATATCACCCATTAGAACAATTTGTGCATTCTTGGTAAGATATCCTAGCATGAAACTCATCTAAAAAGGGTCCAAATACAGAAGCGTACATTATGCTAATCTTAAAGGAAGAGGCAGATAACCAGCAAATCAAAAACTATGGACCTATCTCGCTACTAAATTCTGACTATAAAATATTTGCCACTATAATTGCAGAAAGAACCAAACAATTACTAAGCGAAATTATATATGTAGACCAAAACGGGTTTCTACCAAAAAGACAGTTGAGAAATAACACTGGAATGATTATGAATGTACTGGAATTTTACGAAGCTCACCCAGTGAAACAAGCTGTGCTGATATTTCTGGACGCCCAAAAAGCATTTGATAATTTAAATTGGTGGTTTCTTATTCACCAACTAAATCAGAGGTGGTATTCAGCAGGTTCTGACCAGTTCTGGAGAACCGGTAGCGGAAATTTGAGTAGTTCAGAGAACCAGCAAATCCCACCTCTGACTGGAGATTTTATAGTATCCTTCCCCTGCCACGCGCCCCCAAGCCACGCCCACAGAACCGGTAGTAAAAAAATTTGAATCCCACCACTGAACTAAACACTATGAATTTTGGGGAAAAATTTGTGGGGATGATAAGCGCAATTTACTCCACCCAAACAGCAAAAATAGTAATAAATGGGGAATTAACAGAAAATATAACCAAAGGTGTAAGACAGGAATGGCCACTTTTGCCCCTATTATGTATACTATTGCTAGAAGTATTATATCACACATTAGACATAAAAGGCCTAAAAATAAAAGAGGAAGTATACAAAGTCCAGGCCTTTGCAGATGATTTGCTATTTATTATAGAGGAATTTCTAGAAACAGGGAATAAATTAATACAAAAAATAGAAAATTTTGGCAAAGTAGCGGTAAATAAAGATAAGACAAAAATAATAACCAAAAATCTCACCCATAATACGCAAAAAGATCTAAAGGAAAAATTGGAAATACAGATAGTTAAGAAAGTAAAATATCTTGGAATTTGGCTGACAGCAAAATGTTCATCAATAAAAGAAGATAGTTATAACAAACTGCTATTACAAATAAAAAAAGATTTGGACAATTGGGGGAAATTACAACTATCACGGAAGAATCGCTACACTCAAAATGAATATCCTACCAAAAATTTTATTTCTTTTTCAAACAGCACCGATCAAATTAGAAAAGAAATTCTTCGAAGGACTGAATAAAATAATCATGAAATTTGTTTGGCTAGGGAAAAAAAACACGAATAAAATTAAAATTATTACAAGATAGTAGACATAAGGGAGGCTTTGGGCTCCCCGATTGGGAATTATACTACTAAACAGCAGCATAACATGGATAATCTAAAACATTTAAAATATTAGGTCTATCAGATTGTAGGCAACCACTTGATGGCAGCAAAAAGAGATTGAAACCCCAATTTTGCTTAGTTTTTATAGGTCATACGATTTTTTTGCAGTCCAGATATCAGTATAAGAGTTGTGTAGGATGAATATAAAGTCACAACAGATGTTGCTTCTGGTGTCTCTGATACAACATTCCAACTGCAAAGAATTCAAATTCAGCGTTTTGTTTACTACGATGGCCAGCCAGTAAAAAAGACCAGAAGAGTTCCCTCATTTTATTTTTTTCTCAGCAGCTAATGTTCAGAAATGTATAAATCAGTTATTTCTGATCTCTGATTCAACAAAGAACAGTTTTTTCCTCACCCCATTTGCAAAGTGGACCACCATCTATACCTGGGGGGGTGGGGTCAAACTCAATTTCATTGAGGGCCGCATTAGACCCCGGGGGGCGCAGGGTGGATGTGGCCAGCTCGACATCACTCGACATCACTCGTGTCAGGGGCACCTGTGGTGGCCCAAGGGCTCTGCTAGTGAAAACAGGCTTCCAAGCTCCATTTTAGTCTGTGCCGGTCTCCTACAACCCTCTGCCAATGAAAAGGGAGCTTTTTGCCCGCGGCCCTCCCGAGCTCCATTTTCACTGACAGGGGCACTACAGGCTGGTCCTTCGCTGTTTCCAGGGTGGCCTCGCGGGTCCGATCTAAGCACTCTGTGGGCTGTTTCCAGGGTGGCCCACAGGCCTTGAGTTTGACACCCCTAATCTATATGTTGTACAAAAATATGCAGGTTTCAGCAATCTGGTGTCCCAGATTAAAATTATTACAATGCATAAATGTATATAATGCTTGGTTTGCAAATAGAATAAATAAGAAAATTAACTTTGGATGTGTATTTTTGAATATCAGTGAATCATTTTTTTCATGGAGTCTTGAAAACCTAAAACTTGACTGGGTATTTGCTTGTTTGCTTAGTGAGGCAGGTGAGGGTGCTCATCAGGTTACTGAATGTAGTTCAGACACTGTTCTATTAAATGTCAAGGGATGCCATAGAGTAGGCTGTTTTGTGTAATGTTTGGTAGCGTTGGCTATGGGATTTGAATTCTGAACCAGGAAACTATCTGCTTCTTCTCTCTGTTTCTTTAGTTTTATCTTTTGTGTTTGCCTGACTTTTAGGAATTTGATGATGGTAAATGGCCATTTGTCTTGTCTACTTGCTGTGAATATGAAAAGAGCAGAATATCAATTGGTTAAATAAATAATAAGGGCAGCAGCAGTGAAGTTACAGCAGTTTGGATGCACGAATTGGATGGTTTGATTCAAAGACCAAATCTTCTAAGTACCAATGGTTTGAGATTGATTAAGCACATTCTATTTTGGTAAATGGGAAAGAGGTCTATTGATTGACTTCTGCTTGCTTCTCTGGCTGTTTTTTTTTTTCACTTTTGTCTCTGGAGATATCTGCACATGCCCCACAGATGCCAACAAGCTTTAAAGTACATTACTCCTCTTAAATTCCAAAATAACCTTAAGAACAGTTTACTAATGGAGACTATACTTAAACCACAATCATGCTAAATATATTACATTTTTCTGTGAATTTATATATAATTTCATAAGATGGAGAAGGATATGCATCTTAGTTTAAAGAAGTCATAGATGAAGGAATCTGAGCCCTTATCCACCTAACCTAGGCATGGATTGTTGCTTCAAGTTATTCTTCCAACTTCCAGTGTCTTGAGTCATCCCTGGGAAGAATGACCAAGGATAGAGAAACCAAAGAATGGAAACCTTAGCTTTATATATCAATGTACACTGGTTCGTGTACACTGTTGATATTTCAAGTAGGCTACAGTACGTTATATAGAAAGATACCACATGCAGGAGCAACAAACATTTATTACCTAGTGTCTTTCATCCATAAGGCATCTGAAAATTGTGGATTCATGTTATGGAAAGATAAATACAATGCTGCAGCATTCCCAAATTTGGTGTTTTCCTTTGCCTGCACTGGATGGAAATTGTGTGCTCTGTGTTGAGGAAGACTGGAATGGTAACTGGTTACTGGATAAGCATTATTTATAAATCAACAAACTGTGTAATTTTTAAAAAGTACCTGGCAAAATATATTCATACTACGTACCTTAGCATTTAGTAAGGTCCAGCTCTGTGCCTGCTATATGTTGTTTGATGAGAGTTTTGGCCCAATCATGTCCTACACCAGGGCTATCAAACTCACATCGTCACGGTGGTGTCACATGATGTATTGGAACTTTTTTCCCTTTTGCTAAACCGGGCGTGGCCAGTGCATGATGCATCTGGCCCGTGGGCCAGGAGTTTGACAGCCTTGTCCGATACCGAGTAGAAGACCTGGAGAAACCCCCAAATAGGTGATTTTAGATGTCTCAGTCTTTTTCCATGTGGACTGAAAAAAATTCCTCATAGTTAGTGGGGCAAGGCCATGAGGAAAAATCGATCTTATAAACCAGCAGTTAATATGGTTGCCCACACTCCGGCCTCTACTTTCAAGAGGCCTGTCTTTAGCCTCAAGGTAGCATTAGAAATACATTTTGGAGCTTGAAGAACTGATCTTAGGAATTTGGACTTGACAAGTTCTACTGGTGCAAAATTAGAAAAGGGACCCAGCTGGTGGTGCTGTTGGCTTGACTTTAAATAATTTGAATGCTGTAGAAATGCCATGGTCACCTCTTTTCCTGAAGAATTTAAACATAGTAGGTGAACTCCTTTTAAGCATTATCAGCAATATAGTCGCCATAGGGATTCTCAGTATTGTCAGAATGTAGGGCTAAACCCAGATTTCCAAAACAGGAAACCTGCTCAAATTTATTGCCATCCATCCTCCAAGAGTGATTTTGGGGCCTTTTAGGCAAATGCCATGATTTTGATTTTCTGATAGTTCACAATAGATGTTCCCATTTCATCGAATTAACTTCTACTGAGTATTGATAGCTGTCTATGTCTTATTCTTTATCCTTTTTTATTTTCTTTAGCTGTCCACTTGAAATGATCCCTCCTCAGTGCAGACATGGAAGAATCATATATTCTTATGTTTCTTTTCTTTCCAACAGATATAAGTTTACCAAAATCAGCAACAATATGCTACACAGCTGCCCTTCTCAAAGCCAGAGCTGTCTCTGACAAGTAAGTCTTTAAGAATTCCTGCCTGCTCAAATTTTACTTGTTAAATATGGCAAAATATTTTTCATAGTTGAAGATTATTCATCCTGGCAGGAAAGCATTAAGCCTGTCATAAGTCTGCAATATACTACCGTGTTTCTCATATAATAAGGCCGGGTCTTATTTTTTTTTTGAGCCCCGAAAAAACGGCTAGGCCGTCTTTTCGGGGGTGACTTAATTCCCCCTCCCTTGCATCTTTGGGTGGGCAGGTGGCGACGGCTTGGATGTTGACCTCGGCATTGGTGGGGCACTTCGTATTGGGGTCAACGCAGGCAGCACCATATCTGGGTGTGCAACAAAAGTACTTCCTAACGGCAAGCCCCCCCACCAATCCTCCCCATTTCGCATGTTTTAATATAGGCCTTAATTTGGGGGGAGGGGCTTAATTTCATTTCATGCCTATAAAACATGCTGGGACTTCCTATTGGGGGAGGCCGTATTATTGGAGAAACAGGGTACCAAGAATGGATACAATGAATTTCCATATTGTTTAATTGGGAAAAAACACACACACCAGTTAGCTGCTTTCTTTCTGCAAGCAACAGAATTTTGAATGCTATAAATGTCATTCTGGCAATGTAGTTTTACCAGCAGAACAATAAACGTGGTGTTGGACTGGGAAGGGGCTAAACTTTATGTGAGGCAGATAGACCAGGTGCTTACTGCATAAGAATTCCTGGCAGGCAAACGATGTCCTTTTAACTTGTATGTAAAAAACATAATTGTGTGCAGCTCTGAAAGGTATCTGGCCCTGTCATATGGTTGCTGTCGAAGCACAGCACCGGACCCGAGCCAGGGTCTGATCAGAGGTGGAAGTGAGCCAATCCCAAGCAGTAGACATCCCGCCGTTGCCATGCTTTCTGAATTCAGCCGAGTGGGTGTGGAGCAGGCCGCATGGGAAAGTCGGCTTTCCTTCCTGCTTTTTTTTCCAGAGAGTTTGCTATTGTAGCGTAATGTGCACTTCAAGACCTGAGTAATTTTTTTTTTTCCTTTCATTCTTTTTTTGTCCTGTAGATCGCCAGTACCAACTGCAACATCTTTCCGCCCTACACAGCGACTCCAGCTTGGGAGGGCAGGGCTAGGTTTGTCACAGCTTTCCCTGTGGTGGCTGCCTGCCAAGTACAGCTATGGAGTTAGCCGTGGGGTGTAAGGTGAGAAAGAGATTGCATGGTCTGGGTATTTTTCTCCCCATCTTCCACTCTCTGGGGCAGATCATATTTGCCCTCAGTTTGGGTACACGGTCAGGAATGGATGCAGCTGGGGACAGCTCTCCTGCTACTGCTGCTGCACCAGGCTTTCAACTCAACTTGTCTCAACGGCATTGGGTTGAGAAGTCCCGAAGCCATCCTAAAATGTAATTTATCAATTGACTGGGTTTTCCCCCTCCCCCCACTTACATCTTCCCACGCCCCGCTCCAGCCCGGAGATTTTAAAAGCAAACACATAGAATAAATATAGATTAGCAGGCAGACAGAAATAGAACGTGGACTGCTTGAACATGATCAAGATAAATTTCAAACAAGCTTTTGACTTCTGCTGGGATTTTTAATATCTCTATAATTTAGATGTTTGGATGTTTGTTTGTTTTGCCATGGAGGTTTGGTAAGAGCTAAGACCCTTTTGACTTAGTTCTTCCTTTTTTGCTTCTTTGCGACGCCAAAATTCATCTGCATGCTTCTCTTCTCTTCGTTCTGTATAGATTTTCTCCAGAGGCAGCTTCAAGAAGAGGTCTCAGCACAGCAGAAATGAATGCAGTGGAAGCTATTCATAGAGCAGTAGAATTTAATCCACATGTGCCAAAAGTGAGTTGTTATGAATCTCTAGTACTATTTGGTATAAGAATCAAAATGAATTTAAGTAAGCAACTTATATGTCAAATGGTGTCTTCTCCTATGAAAAAAAAATCCCATCCAGTCACTTAAAACAAAATTCTCTTTTGCTTCCATCTTTGGTCATCTTTTCTTCTCATTCATAATTGATTTTATAAGTTTATAATACTAATAAGATTTAAAGAGTGCAATAGAGATAAGAAAATACAACCTGATAGTTGCATCCTATCATCCACCATTATTGAAAGTTAAAGTCGTAATAAGTAACTTTTCAGAGAGGAACTTTGGCAAAATAAGCAGGATGTAGCCAGGGAAAGATGTGACTTTGTTTTAATAATCATAGGATCAGAAATGAAGTTTTATTTTAATTGCTCAAAATATTTTGGATTTGGAGGTGTTTAGAGGACTTTCAAGATCACAAATCTCTCCATTCTCAAGATTTTGGCATGAACTGGATTCCATCCTCTTTTGGATGGCTATTGTTACAGCTAAAATGTGAATTACTTTGTTTAATAAAGATTGTGTTTGTAGTAATAAAGCATTTATCTAATGTTTCTAGGTGAGATTTGCTTGATGCTGAAGTTTTTGCATTGGGCCAGCATGTGTAAACTCCCCTGCTTGACTTATATATTGTAAATAATCTCTGTGCGATTGTATTTTTTTTTCTTTTTCTTCTGTAATGCAAATCTGCCAGGTCTGTTTGTACCCTTGTTGCTCTGTTGCACGAATTACAGGTGCCCAAATCTTCCCACAGATCTTTTTCAACCTCAGGATCTATTTTTTGAATTTGAGTAATACTTCTTGGGTTCCTCCTCTTCTTTCAAACCTTTTATGGGACTTTCCTGCTTTAGCTATTAAGTCTTTTTATAAGGGATGACTAATCCTTTCCCCCCCCCATTTCCTTGTTCTTTTAATCAGAATGTAAAACTCCATTAGGTAGATTGTCAATTCAACTAGAATGTCAAAATGTTAATTTAAAACCTCTGCTTCATTATTCATGTTACATAAGTAAGAGTCAGAATTTCACAATGTGAGTTGTTCTGAATTTTACTTGTAAAGCTGTCCTTAAAAGGTTTGTTTGTTGTTCCTTTTATATGCCCTTATTCTTAACTTAGAAATTACTTGCATTTTCATGCTGGCCTTCATACTGCAAAAAGAAGAGGGAAATTTCTGTGCTTCATTAACACTATTTTTTTTTCTGTATTTGGTCCATAACATAGTTTAGAAGAAGACTCAAAACATGTCTTCTCACCCAGAACTTTTCAAGTTTTGTGCATGTTAATATGTCAGGTTATGTTAAGATATTACATCTCTATAAACCACCTGGTGCTGTGGGAATGAGTGACATACTGCATATTGTATATATAAGCAGCAAGTATACTATTTTATTAAATTTTAAAATCAATCATTATTAAACATTTCAACATTTTAATTTCTTATTAACTCTTAAACCATTCTAATTTTCTATTTCTAATACAAATTTAATAAAATATTAAAGGGAATGTTTAGAATATTGAGTTTTAATTAAAGAGTTTAATATGACTATGGTATTGACGTTATTATAAAACTATTATAGTAGCATTTGTTTTTTGAAAAGGCAATGGGAATGTTATAATTTAATATTTAGATTTATTATTTATCTATGTATTTAATCATTTTGGATTTATTACTCCGTTTTTATTATTATTAAAAAAAAAAAATAGTAGATAGAATGTACCAAGCAGAATCAGATTGGGTATTAGGTGTTATTTTAAATGTTAATCTAATTAATTTAGGGGGAGGATAGAAAGGCATCATACTCTGATTAGTGATTTCAGGAGAAATTCTTTTTTTTTTCATTATAAGGAATGAGATAGAGGGATAATAAAGAATGGGCAAAAGATACAAATATAATGATTTAAATTAAGATGGATTAAATAAGATAGAATTATGAAGAGTGAAATGTGTGGAGAAGTTTATATAGAAGATATAGAATGGTAAACAAAATAGGTAATGATATGTAAGATGAGCATGAATATAATTGAAGCCCATATAAAGTGAGGTACCTGGGGCCAAGTTACTTTCCTAAAAGATTTTTTATATGTTTGTTTGTTGTGTGTTTATGTATTTGAGAGTATTAATAAAACCTTGTAGAAATACAGAATGAGAATAATGGTAACCAAGTCAGAAAGAAATAGATGAAATAATAATAGCGAAATTGAATAAGAGTAAAGAGAAGTAAAGAGAAATTGGATAAGAGGTATTTGTATGCTCATATGGAAATGGCTTAAAATAGAATTGTATTGTATAAAATAAGGTTTTATCTGACTTGTAAAATTTATAATGGAAAAAGGTTCAAATATGTAATGGTTGATGATGATTTGTTTGTCTTTGAAATTAATAAAATTTGCTTAAAAAAAAAAAAGCAGCAAGTACACTGAGAATATGTGGTGAGAAGTCAAAGTTTGGAACCAGTTTGTAAGAGTATCCAAGGCCAGGCACTCTGAGAAAGAATGTGAATTATCTCAAAACATCTCAGCATTCTCAAAACTCATTAACGAGTTCTGATTGGCTGAAGACACGAGATGGGGGGATTAGATTAGGGGAAACTTTTCTGTATTTTTTGATCACAGGAAACCCAGAGCTAGCCTGACTTTACTGCAGCCATGGTCCCTTGAGATTGTGAAAAAAGAAAGAGTCAGAAGAGAAGCCCACGTGACGTTCACCCATGGGAGCCATGGCATCTGCTGGCAGGAGACCTGGAGTAGATCTGGAAGAGTTGGAGGAAGAACCCATTGCAGGCGAGCTGGATTGAGAGGACTGGATGCTGGAGCAAGCCATAAAGTTCCTGAGGGGGCTTTTGGCAACCTCAAAGCATAAGCCCTGGCCTTAGCACACCCTGCTAATCAACCAACTCCAGTTACAGTGAATGATGGAGCAACGGTGGCAGCAATGGGCGCCATAGCAGTGGCAGATGTTCTGGCATCTGACCCTGCAGCCTAGCCTGACCTGACTTTAGTAGCAGCAGCAGCAAGACACCAGCTCTGGGCATAAGGTTCAACAGAGTTTGTAAAGTTCTTCCTAGCACATGTCTGGAGATACATGTAAGAGTATGGTCCAAAAATAACCCATCAAAGAGGCCAAGGTGTGGTGTGTGACCATAGCATTGGAGGGGATAACAGCTGAATGGACCATCACCTTCACAATGATACCTCAGAACTGAGAAACTTGGGATTACTTCATGGCCGCCTTTGGAAGAGCTTCGAAGATTCCTTAGCCCCGTGATGGCAAACCTATGGCACATGTGTCGGAAGTGGCATGTGGAGCTATTTCTGCTGGCCCACAAGCTGTCGCCCCAGATCAGGTCCGCTGCGCATACATGCGTGCCTCCCGCCAGCCAGCTGATTGTTAGGTATCTGCCATGCATGCGCAATGGCGGGGCACGGGGGGGTCACATGGGCCGGGGGGGGTCATGCATGCATTGTATTATGGGTGCAGGCATGCATGCGTGCGCACATGCGCACACATGTGCACTTTAGGCACGTGAGGATGAAAAGGTTATCCATCACTGCCTTAGCCAATTGAAAAGCCAGAGATCACATAAAAACCATCATCCAAGGGCACGGGGGAGAGGCCGAATACACCCAAGATTTTCATAACCTGGCCTGTTGACTGATTGGCGGGAAGATGGTTCAGATGCTTCTAAGAGGGGTTAAGCAACAAGGTCTACAACACCTGTACCTTCAGGAAACCTCCCCCCCCAACCTCCATGGCTGATATGTCCTAGCAGAAGTGGAAATTGACCTGGCTCAATCCAAATACTGGCTGAGCCATGGGTAGTGAACATCCCTCTTTGAAACAAAAGGCTCTGAAACTGTTGGCAGGCGAGCAGAGTCCATACCGATGATTTGCTGGTTGCTTCAGGTGCGGGAAGGAGAGGCACGGAGCTTCCAACTGCCGGGTTGCATACCCAACCCAGAAGGCAATTGTGAGTCTTGCCAAAAAAATTGGCAAAACCGCCAGAGAACCCACAAGACAGATCTGAAGGGTGTAGACCAGGGGTGTCCAACCTTGGCAACTTGAAGACTTGTGGACTTCAACTCCCAGAATTCCTCAGCCAGCAAAGCTGGCTGAGGAATTCTGGGAGTTGAAGTCGACAAGTCTTCAAGTTGCCAAGGTTGGACACCCCTGGTGTAGAGGTTGTAGAGTGAACCCCATCCCCCAAGGTTGGTGAGAGAATTCCGACTGGCCCAGTGGACAGTCCAGCAGTAAACAAATAAACCTACAATGATGATCCTTGGTAAGTCACCCAGTCAACCCAGTGACCATCCTCATAGAACTGCTGGTTAAATCCTTGGGGTGCAAAGGGAATCTAAGAGACCTCTTGGACTTGGGGTGCACCAGATGTCTGGTTAACCTTTCCCTGGTTGAGAAACTGCAAATGAGATTCAGACAACTTAAAGTACCCATAGGGGGGATGAGTGGGAAACAGCTTTCAATTGCCACTTAGGACATTTCCAATTCTGAGTCCTCCCTTTTGGACTGCAAGGATCCCCTTTTGTGATCATGCAGCTGATAAACAAAGTGCTACATGAACACCTGCATAAGGGAGAGCTAGTTTACCTGGAGGATGTTTTAATCTACATTGAGACAATGGCAGAGCATGAAAAACTAGTCAGAGCTTTGAGCGGCAAAACTATACGCCAAGCTATCCAAATATAGATTTCACCAGAGTAAAATTGATTATCTGGGCTACTACATTTCCCATAAAGGGATAGAGTTGGACCCTGAGAAGGTGTGGGCAGTGCTCGAGTGGGCTCCTCCCTGCACCCGTAAGCAACTACAAAGCTTCCTGGGATTTGCAAACTTTTACCACCAATTCATTCCCTCATTTGCCCAGATAGCCCTCCCCGTCATCAACCTGCTAAAGACAAAAGGGGAGAGAAAGCCTCAAGCCCAGCCAGCCACTTAAATGGACTATGGGATGTCAAGCCACATTCGGAAAGCTTTAGCACCTGTTCGCGGCGGAGCCAGTGCTGAAACATCCAGATCCCAATGTTCCCTTCATCATTCATGCTGACGCCAATGATATAGCAGCGGGCACGGTTCTTCTGCAGGAAAATGAGCAGGGGATCCTACAGTCATGCACCCACACTTCCATAAAAAGTTTAATGAGACAGAGTGGAGATAGGCGGTTTTGGAGAAGGAAGCCTATGTGATGCACTGGGCTCTCGTAACTTGGAGACATTTTCTAGCGGGAAAAAACAACCCATTTGAAGTATGGACTGACCATAAGAATCTGGAGGCTCTAACACCATCCTACCCCTGAATTTATGTCCCAAACAAGTACGTTGGGCTCAGTACTTTAACCGCTTCCTCCAGGTGGGGAAACCTTCCTAATAGATGCTTTTTCCAGGCTGCTGGAATACAATCGTTCAAAGCCGGAGGTGATTAGGGCAGTCCAGGCAAACGGTGGCTCCAGTCACTTCCCAGACACAGGCCAAAACAAAAACAGAAATAGCCAATGATCCAAAGGCAGTTTGGAGAAAAAGAAATGGTACCAAATGCATTAAGGGTGAATGTACAACGTAAGATGGTCTAGCTTGAGGAGGGTCCAAGCTATACATCCCAGAGTCAACGGTGAATGATTCTACAAAAAAGCTATGATTCAAAAGTGGTGGGACACTTCGGCTTCGTAAAAAGCCTACAGCTTATCCAGCGGCAATTTTGGTGGCCATCACTGAAGAAGGACATAGAGAGTTATGGAGCTAGCTGCCCTATCTGTGCCTCCGCCAAGAGGTGACAAGGGAAGACACCAGGGATTCTCCAGCCAGTAGCAGAACCTAAAGCCCCATGGAAAGAGATATCGATGGACTTTATAGTAGGACTGTCTAAAAACTTGTGCAATACAGTAATTTGAATGATAACTGACTGGTTTTCCAAACAAGACCCTGTCAAAAAATCCCCTTCACTTGCACATTGGCTAAGTTTTTCGTGCAGCACGTCTACTGGCTGCATGGTGCTCTAGTAAGAATAATCTCAGATTGCAGGGTCCAGTTCATGTCATGGTTTTTGGCAGGATTTCCTAAACCTCTTGGGGACCAACTCAGGGGCTCAGGTCCTCACATCATCTGGCTACTAATAGTGCCTGTGAACATACAAATGGGGTCTTGGAGCAGTATCTCAGGTGTTACATTAATTACTAATTTGGAAGGCCTTTCATGAGAGTCACCTACAATAACTCAGGACACAATAGCATTCCATATGAAGTGGCCACAGGACAGGACTTTGTATCTATCCCTGATATTGTTTCAGCACATCCCCCACATCTGCATCACTAAAAGAGTGGGTCACCCAACTACAGAATCCCTGGCTGCTAGTGAGAAAAACTTTGGATGAAGCAACGGAAGCATATAAAACACAAGCGGATAAAAAGTGCATTAAGCCAAGGACTTTATAGTGGGAGATAAGGTCTATCTATCTACCAAATTTACAATCTAGAGAACCATCCAAAAAACTGGGGCCTAAATACGCCGGACCTTTCCCCATAAAAAGGATTATTAACCCGGGGACTGTGAAGCTTGAGCTGCCAAAAATGCTAGCCTGACTTTACTGCAGCTAACATTTTTTTTAAATAAAAGAACCTTTCGTTTCAACCAAATGGGAGTCAAGGGTCTTTCTTTCCTAAGGGATCAGATTGTGGGCAGATATGACAGTGTGCATAATTTTACCTTGATCTATATTTTGTAGAAAACTATTAACCCAATGTATGTTCTTGCAATGTCTTATATTATACCATTTCACACACTCCATTTATCAACTCAGTGCAAAAGTTTTTTTGGATAATGCTTTGGATTTCAAACATAACTTTTTCTGTATCCTTTTAAGGAGATAGCTGTGTATTGTTTTCTGCTATCTGTAAAGAGTCTGAAGAATATGGTACTTGCAATTTGCTGGTATGTTTTAGCATTTATGATACATGAGCAATTTATTATCAAAAGCAATGGATAAAAATCTAGATTTAATAAAACTTTTACAGCTGAACAATATTCAGGGCTTGTGTGGTTGGGTTATAATGATCTTTTCCTTTTATATCTGGATAATGACTGTATGCTTCCTGTTTTTCTGTTGTAGTATCTTCTAGAAATGAAAAGCTTAATATTACCCCCTGAACATATTTTGAAGCGAGGTGACAGTGAAGCAATTGCGTATGCTTTCTTTCATCTTCAGCATTGGAAAAGAGTTGAGGGCGCTCTGAATCTCTTACATTGTACGTGGGAAGGCAGTAAGTAATTCACTTTCTTAGAAGCGTATGACAGGAAGCACGTGACTCCAGGGACAGACAGTCAGAAGTTCAAGAGCCAGTCATAAATTACTTTTTCAGTATAGTCATAACTTTGGTGACCAAATGAGTTGACAAACTATACACAATATAAGATTGATGTCATTTGGACAATAGAAAAATATTGTCAGTAAGTTTAGATGACTTTCCTTAAGTTTACTAAATTAAATTGGAGATCTCCCAATCAAAGCAAATTTCCAGCCTAAAATGCTTATTTTGTAGAATAATGGCAGTTCCGCAAATGATCAACAGTCATATGAAACATAATGGTACAGTTTGGTGCCAGACATTGGAACACTTACTGGAGCTGCCCAGCTGGTAGCAGCATTTGACCAACTTTGAGCTTTAATTTTAAAGCTTTGAGCTTCAAATAAATACCATCACGTTTGGATAGTACTTGGATGAAAGACTTCCATGGATGACCAAGCCTGTAGAACAGATCGAGTTGAAAAATATTGTGGAATGGGAATGCACACTTTCATAGACTTCCTGTTTCTAAATGGTTATGCAGAGTACACAGCAATGCAAAAGTATTGCACCTCTCTAAGGTTACTTTAAATTTGTTATGGTCTTTCTAGGATTGGGAGGGATTGACACTAGAAGCCCTAATACGAATGTTTGCAATATTGCTTTAATGTTTGTTTACATCAAATAGGTACATTTTAGTGGGAAAAGCTTAATAGCACAGACTGGTATCTATGGTTCCATATTATTTACAACATATCAATTCTAGGGGATCTAGAACACACTGAAGAACACATTTTACCTAACACTATTCCATATCTTCCTGTAGTACTTATGGCTTCCATTCGTTTGCACGTTGGTTTCTAGTAGCTTTTAATTTCTTACACTTTCCAATTTAAAGCTGTTTGTTATTTTTAAAGAGAAGGCTGCTATGCTGCAGAATAAAGCCTTATCTCTAGAATTCCTTTTAACCTACATTCAAGAAATAAGACTGCTGGGTATACCGCTGATTCATTTTGATATGCGCCTAGAAAAAAAAGTAAAGTCATCTATCTGTGGATGAGATAGTGATGGATTACTCTGTATTTTGTCTTTTCTTTTTGATGCAAGTAGATCCTGTGGGTATTATAGATCCATGTTTTTGGAGCTCAGTTCACATTTGTCACTTGTTAAGTAAAGAATTTTTTGTTTTCTAACTTAATTAGTTTGGCTTCTGAGAAAGGTGTTTTATAACTTGATATGCTAACTTTGGTAACTGTTTTATAAGAGTGACACACCTCCTATGTCAATAATTTTGTGAGAACATCTATGAAATGCTTCTTAGAATCCAAACAAACCTACCACCACTAAAAGACTAGAGGGTATATATATATTTTCCTGGGGGTAAAATCACAATTAATATAATTAATAGGACTTACTTTTCAATAGACATGTTTAAGATATTTTGATGATCCTGCTTTGCCATATTATTTACAGGCCATATAATTTACAGATTTTTTTTCCTTCTAAAGGCAGGAAAATAAAATTCTTAAAACTTACCATATATTGATTCAATTTATTTGTATAGGAATATGCTTTGTGGTCCATTACAGATAAACAGATGGAAATTACATTATCAATTCAGAACAAGGTGGACTATGCAGTAGAACCTCTGGTCATGAACGCTTCTGGACCACGACCAAATCAGGTTCTGACCAAAATAGTCACAAAATTTTTGAATTGGTCACGAGCACATACACAGTTGGCGATCAAACATGACCCCTGACCTAGAAATTCCTGAAGATGAAGAAATCACCAAAGTTATGGAACGAATTATGGTCGTGGCCAGAGGTTCTACTATATGCAACTTCAGAGAAGTTCAAAAGTTCACTGGATTTCACTGCATTGAACTCTACCTAACTAAAAGGTATAGTGGACTTAAATTCCCCTAATTTCAACAAAGCACTGACCAATCTGACTAGGGATTATGGGAATTGAAAGCCGAACTTCTAGAATCTATTAAATTGCAGGAAGTTACTCTGCAATCTTCAAAAACTTGTTTTTCTTTAGCTTTCAGAATGATTCCTTATCCTTTGGAAAAAGGGCACCTTTTTTATCCTTATCCCATTTGTACCGAAACAGCAGATAGAGAACTTCTTCCGTGTAAGTTTGATTTTTTTCCCCCTGGTTTTATCTTTAAATAAGCAAGAATAACTTATATGAATTGGCTCATAAACAAGGAAGGTTTCTGCTCTATAAGTTTATCCAGTTATTCTCAGGATGGAATATTAGGGTTATCAATAGTTGGTTTTGAACAGAGATCTAACGCTGCCTGAGATGTAGCAACCCAGGTTTGAATTGGATTACAAGCCCATTATGACATTTTCATCAGTACTCCCAGACTGAAAATTGGAAGAGAAACTCTTGCTATCCTGGAATTAAAATTAGACATAACTGTTTTTATTTGCAACTTGGATTGGGAAAGAAAAATGTTCGTTCCTGGAGTTTTCAGTTTGTGCAACATGTAAGACTTTGAAAAGCCCCAATTTTTTTAAAATTAAAAAAACTGATTATATAGTGTGAAGAAGGCAACTGAATTTATTTTGATGTGTTCATGGTTGAGCTTGCAAGTCTTCAGTCAAGAATTATACAATGTAACAAAAGAGATTCAAGCTGGGATCTTTAATATGAAATTATCTTCGTTGAAGAGAAATTCAATGAAGTATGCGTGTGTATTGCTTTGTTAAACAAGCAAAAAACATTAGTGAAAGGATACACCTATCAGTTAGTATTATATTAATAAAACATGCAAAAACTAGATTAAGCATCTTCGGATAACAATCAGAAGTTATTATTTTGTTCTCCAGATTAAGTCCAGGGTCCCTTCTCCTTTTCGTACTTCGATGTTGTATTATTTTATTAACTCTGTTAATGCATATTTTTTTTAGTTTAATAAAAGAAAAAAAGATATTTAATTATTAACAGCATAAAACCAAGTACAGTATAAAATTAATTGTAAGAATCATGGAGATTTATAATAAAATAATTTTAGGAAATTTCACCAGATCGGTTGAAAATCTGTAATTCTGCTTAAAAGTGTTTCACTTGTTTTTTTCCTTATCTTCTTGGCAGCATTTCATGAAGTCTCTGTTTACCCCAAGAAGGAGCTTCCATTCTTCATTCTGTTCACCGCTGGACTATGTTCTTTCACAGCTATGTTGGCCCTTCTGACACACCAGTTCCCAGAACTAATGGGAGTATTTGCAAAAGCAGTGAGTATCATGTCACTTACTCATTTCTGATGGATCAAGGGGAGGGGTGAGTCAATAAATTATGGGGCAACAGGCTTTTTAATCAGCAAGCACAATGGTTGCTCTCTCTCTCTTTTTTTGCCATATGGCAACTATCCTTTACAAATCATTATTTGTCACTATATTTTAGCAGTGAATTAGAGGAATGTGATTTGAATTGGAATGTTACTAATCTGTTGTCAGGGTTCTTCTTCCAATGCGAGAATATATTTCAAATGAAATGAATAAAATAGATGGTTAATTCAAAGAAGCAATACCACTTTTTAAATGTGTTATGATGGGAGCATTTAAAACGATATATTCACACATGGGAAGAATAGTTAAGATCACATACAGTATTATTAATGAATGTTTACAACCGGCATCATGTCAATAGTTCTCAATGTGAGACTTCTATTTATTGCATTTAATTTGATTTTAAGAGCAGACAACTCCTTCTTTTTATAGAGTTTTATTTGGGTTTTCACAAAACATACAAATAAAATATCTTTTTTTGAGAGTAGCATGCTCTCGGGTTATCACTTCTCTATACAGACATAAACTCAATTACATATTCATCTTATGTATTCTAATCCATATCTTATAACTATTTTCACAGTTTTCTCAATAGTTTTCCCTTTCCTTGCTTTATGTAACCTTATTTTAATTATCTCATTCCTTTCTAAGTTCAATTAAATATCTTTTTCTAATTTTCAGTATCTTTCTAATCAATATTTTTATACTTTTGTCTGTCCTGTTTACAATTTCATATTTTCTTTTCTCATCAAACAAATTTTCCCCTGTAATTACTACATTGGAGATACTGTTGTATCTAGATACTGTTGTATCTTTTAATTATTATCCATTCAAATCTTGTTTAAAATTATGCCTTTACAGTTATAACATTCATTTTCTAACCTCTATTTTATAACACATAACTATTATCAACCAAATTCTGCTTGGTACATTCCCTTAAAAATACACACTAAGTTCTTGAAAACACACACACGCACATGTATGTATGTATGTATGTATGTATGTATGTATGTATGGTATTCAGCTTTGTTCGAGTATTTTCCCATGTCATTATAGTTGTGCTTTTAAAGTTGTAGCAACGTTTCAGCAGAATCTCATCTGCCATCATCAGGCTTCTGTATTGTGTTCGTCTGTGAGTCAGACTTTCACAGCCATTTCTGTTTTAAATTTGGTGCTAGCCTATTGCTGTGCCAGCTGTTCCATAGGTCTGTTCATCTTCTAGGTCTCCATTATGTCTCAGTGTATTTTTGTGGATCAAGCCACTGATTTTGCTTTTGTGGAAGCTGTTGGCTGTCAGTACTTTAGTCAGGGTGCCTAGTTCAGTCTTTATGTGTGTCTTGTGTGCCAGGCATTTGGTTCTGGCGATTAGTGTTTTGGCCACGGAGTTTATCTGTGCTGGGTGGTGGTGGGATTGGGCGTTGAGGTAGCGGTTAGTGTGTGTTTTCTTCTGGTATACGGTGTATCCTAGTGTGCCATCTGTTTTTTTGCAGATTAGTACATCTAGGAATGGTCGTTGTTTGTTTCTGTTTCCATGGTGAATTTGATTTTGGGGTGTGTGCCGTTTCGGTGTGTTAGGAAATTGTTTAGGTTTTTTTTTCCATGGGGCCAAATAACAAATGTGTCATCGATGTATCTTAACCATAGTTTGGGTTTGTGGGTGGCATTGGCTAGGGCTCTGGATTTGAATTCTTCCATGTACAGGTTTGCAATGACGGGTGACAGTGGTGATCCCATAGGGGTCCTTCAATTTGCTTGTATCTTTGTCTTTTGTATATGAAAGATGTGTTGGTTAAGCAGTGTTCTGTTAGTTCCATGAGGTGTTTGGGTGGTTGGTATTTATTTTTGATGATTTCAAGACTTTCTTTTATCGGGACTTGAGTGAATAGTGAAACCATGTCGAAACTTACAAGCAGATCTTTTCGTTCCACGTGTAGATCTTTGATCATTTCTTTGATCATTTGGTATGAGTTTTGTACATGTGAAGCTGCTGCTTCAGCATGGGGCTGTAGCTGCTTTGCTTGGTATTTGG